GGAGAGAATTAATGGCTATGTGGGACCTATTTCAAAAGAAAAAGCAATAAATATTTTTTATATATTATAATTGTAAAAAATAGAAAAATAAAAATAAAGTCATCCATTCCGGCTTGCTTTGATTGTCGTTGTCATGGACAATTTTGTTGTTCATGAGTTAAGCGAAGACACTAGAAACATCTCTTTCTTATTTTTTGGTACTCATAGCCAATAACCACAATTTTTCCGGATGGAGAGTCAGCCTCTTAGCGTCTCGAGCCGGATTAGCGATGTTGAAAACCACCAAGGCTCTGATGTAATATGTTTTATGAGATACCTTAGGTTATAAGTGATTAATTTGACCTCACCAATCTCCTTAGCCATCCTTTCCATCGTTTCCAATGTGAAGTGGTTCATTTGTATGTTTCTTATTCTAATCCACACTTGGAAGGTTGTCAAAAAGTCCTACCACGGTCTGTCATTCAACATTGTTTGAAGGTCTTCTTCTCTCTGGAATTTGTTCTTTGATAAAGTTATTCTTCTAACTCTATCAGCCATATGCCATACTAGAGGCATAACTTCAATCATTTTGGCCATGGGGTGAGAGTCTGGATTGAGCAAACGACCTAGGAGACTGATTGTGTTCTCTGAATCTTGGGCTATCTGGTAATTTAATTGGTTCATCATCTTTTAATCGCAGAGCTTTGATTGCCGAGTAGAGATTCTCTGCCATCTGAAACCCAGTGGAGCAATGACGGAGCAAGATAGCACGGCGGATGAAGATGAGTTTGGGTGTTAGGTCAGAATCGTATGTTGCAAAATTACAACTTAATTATGCCATATTCTGCACCTAAATTGAAGGAAATCATCAAAATAATTGACCTTAGTGACCACGAAATTGGCAAGAAATGAAAAATTGTAATGAAGAGGAGAAGATTTCTTTAAGCGAAAGGGAAAGTAGATTATATAGTTTCTTAAAATACTGTAGCAATGAAGCCGAAATTGAGGTCTTCACTCAATAGAGAGAGAGAGAAAGATAAAAAGGAAAGAAGCAAACTCTAACATCCGTGTTCCGTGGTTTGGCCGCCGCGGACTAGTGATCGAGTCGCGATGGACAGTTTTGGCCGAGAGAGTAGAATTTGTGAAGTAAACTGAGTTGGGCAGTTAATTCTGAGCTGG